TTTAATCGTGGGTCTTTAGCATAGGCTTAAAAGCTTTTCAGAGCTATGAAAGTTTAGTCACTTTAATTTCTGGTTAAACAGTTGCAGAGGAGGATATTGACGGCTTGATTTGGTTTTTCCCTTTGTGGTTTTTCTGTAATTTAATCTTAATTTTGCAAGCCTGGCGAACCATTTTCGCGGAACAGAGCTCGGTCTTGTAAATATATATATTCGGAAACAATTTATGTAAGATGTAATTTTTTAAAAGGTCTAGTTTATATAAAGTTAATGTTCTCTTTGAAGCCTTGGGATTATGTCTTTGTCATCAAATAGTATACAACTATCCCCCGAAAGGGAGGTGAATAGTGGTAAAATATACCGAGACGCGAACCGTCGGGGTATATAACTAGCGCAATGAGCCGACCCTGTGGGCGATAGTTGTTTCAGTATTTACCAAATCAGTTGGAGAAAAGTCAAAAGGACCTTTTTGTAAACAAGAGACGTCACTTAGTTAGAGTTTGTTTACGTTGCAATTGACAGTGGTTCGGGGATCGTTGTTCATGATTTTGTTGCAAATTCAGTAAGAAAGTTTTTTCTACCGACCAGTAAACGCCGACAAGCCAACTTTTGTCTCTTTCTTGGTACTTGTTAGTGCAGCTGCTTCATTTACCGCTACAATTTCATCTTTGGAAACTGTTGCGAAACGAGAAGCCATTTTGAATCCTGTCCCAAAACAGTGAATATTCAAGGACATTCAGAGTTACAGGAGCCAATCAGAACGCGCGAAATTCGCTATCCACTGATTTGGTGAATACTAACATTTAATAGTAATTCACATTTTTGTTAATTTCTGTATATGCACGCAGGCCTTAGGAGTTTCAGGATGTATATTCTCTAAGCATTTATTTATTCCCTACTTTGATCTGCCATGGATAAAAAACACAATGCACATGTATGTTATTTTCAAAGTTTATATAGCCAGTGGCCTCTACTCTAATTATAAATGGTCTACAATCTTGGGTCCAGCACAAATAGCCACTTTTCATGATTAATATATTGAGTATTGTTCAAATTACCTTTCCTTGTTGGGATTTCCTGTTTTTCGTATAAAGGAATCTTATATTGGATAACTTTAGACATTCTTTGAGAACGTAAAAGGTTTTCACTCTTTCAGAAAGAGCTAAATTGTATCTTTTTTTCAGTGGTAGATTTGTTCACTTGAGAAGTTTAGACCCTATACTGCAATTTGCTTTGGTCTCCTTTCATCAAGAAGTGGTGAGTGTTAAACAAACTAATATTTATTTCCAAAATAAATAGTTTTATGCTGATTCTTTCTGATTAATATCGCTTTTTTTCTTTCAGTGAGGGACGTTCCCACCACCCGGGATATCACCATATAGATTCCAAACTCATCCCATAATGGCTGTTTCATTATTTCGTGTCCCAGCAAACAGAATTTAACCAAAGCAATACTTTTGCCAGCATTAGTTAGTGTTAATAGTGTGTTATGTAAAGGGATTTGAAGCATAAAGACAGTACAGTACGTGTCGTTATTGTGTGACCCTCATCATGCTTGACATGACTCGGTATTTCATTTGCTTGTGTGGGATATCGCTTCCATGGGGTGATAATGGATAAACATGACCATGACTGTTGAGACAAACCCTGTGGGATTGTAGGTTATATGCCAATTGTAATTACCTAAGTGAAGATATTTTAGTATCAATTTCTAATCTCTTTCGTGCAGGGGGAGCTGAATTATTTCAAAGTGGTTTGTTTTGTCCAAGGTTCAAGTCGTTCGGGTTGTTTTCCTTCATCTGTAAGTGGTAGGTTTTAATAATGATACAAACAATTTTTTTTTTAATTTTGGTGATTTATATGTATATTAGGGGGAAAATGTAAATAATAATAAAAATGTGCTTTTTAAACCTGTTTTGATGTCAGAGTGTTGCATAGAAGAATTCTGGTCAATGTCATAAAAAATATTGTTTATCGTGGATAATGTGTATAAAGGGTGTTTAACGGCTATTTTTGGCACAGACAGCAAGCTTGCTATCGTCGTATATCTGGTTTTAAATATATAAGTATACCATGATCGAGTTACACGATCAGAGGAAGTACATCAGAGATTTGTTACTTCTTTACACTAAGGAATAATTGTATCGGTTACTCGACTACTTTCAATATAACGAAAGTAGAGAAAAAGCTGATCATGGCTGTCGCAATGGTCCCTACGTCACTAAGAACAAAGAAAAGTCTCAAAATCTCTTTTTAAAAAATTTTTACCATAAATGCCAAATTTCTTGAATCTGTTCAAAAATATATCACAGAATGATATGACTTGAAAACTGAAACTACACTCTGAGAATAACTTTTACAGTTTTAATCCGTTTGAGTTCAAACTTTGCGGGATGGTAGAACTTTGTATTCCAAACACTGCTGTGTTTTTTGTTTTTCGATTTTAATGGTTTTTGGTGCAAAATGACGTCATATGATTGACAGCAAAGTTAGATGTTCAACTGATGATGTAAAAAATAAATATTTTTTAAAGAGCACGACGCGAGAAAATCAATTGTCAAAAATGTTTTGAAAAGCTCATTTGGGAGGTGGGGCTTTAAGGGGGGGGGGGGGTGCTTTAGCCGCCCCACTTTTCTAGAGGAAAAATGTTTTTGTTTAAGTATAAGGTACATGCTTTAAGCACTAGAAGTACCTGTCATTTTACCTCTTATCCAGGTTGAGGTTTTTTAGAAAAATATCTCATTGAGAATGTTGAAAATACCATTTCGGAGCCTCTGTATTACAAAATATAGGACCTTCAGATTTCACAAAGGCCAGCTAGGATTCTTTGTGCCATTTCTTGCTGTGATTGATTGGGACTTTAGCGAGAAGCTATATTGGATGTATAAAGTTTGAAAGCAATATTCGGCGATTCCCGTTGAAATTCTCTGAGCGTAAAGAAAAATTTCAAAACTTTGTGTTAAAATTTTACGAAACCTGGTTAAATGAAGTTAGGGATAGTAACGCCGCTGAAATGCGCTAGCGCCTGAAAATCGATCGCCACCCGCGCGGAAAAAGATACGTGGATGGAAGAGAGAAAAATTCGTTTACACTTTACACCACCCCCACCCCAGGAAAATGAGGGAGAAGACTAAGTGAAAATTGTCGATTTTTACTCTACCAACAACCAGACAGATGTTTTTCGGTTGTCTTTAAAACAAGCCAAAACTTTTGGGTCTGTCATCTTAACCTTGTTTATGCAGCGCTTTCAAAAAAATTAACTTTAAAAGTTTGCAAATGCAAATGTATCAGCAAAAGAAAATGACGGGGAGGAGTTGGAATTAAAGCTCGTCCAATTTATTTATTTATCATGAAATTAATGAAAATTGTTTTGGTGTTTATTTTTTTGGTCCACCTCTAACTAATTTGGTATAGAAAACGACAAAAGATTAAGCTCATGATAAAACATGATGAAATGATAAAGAATTCTTTCCTTCACTAGGCATCTTATCGTCAAGAAGCAGTTACACTGGAACTTAGAAATGAAAGAAAAGATAATAAAAGATATAGATGACTTCAAAAAACGTCTCACAAAAGCTAAAAATGACAACAATAGGGCAGACGAAGGGCGTGCCTATTGCAATCTCAACAATGCTTATCGCTAGTAGTTATATAATGATTCCTTAGTACTCACTCACTTGGTACTTTTCCCCTGTCATTATTCAATTATTTCCCTCATTCGACCCCAAATTTCAATGACGGAATTTAGACTAACAAATTTTTGTACTTTTTTGAATTAATTTCTGAGTTTATCTTCTATCATTGTTCAATTAATTTCTGTCTTACGTCTTGTACTTTTTTCTGGTTATTTTCTATCATTGACTTTTTTTTCTGATCATTTACGTCATTAGCTGATTAAGCACTGTTATCAAATATTTTCTGGTTAAACCTGTTTTCTAAGGTTGAAGTAGAAAATAAAAATGATTTAAAGAAATTAATATAATAATAAAACACAATGATTAGCAAGGTTATTCCAGATTACGCAAAGGATTTTAAGAATGAATACCTTTTTATATTAGGTATTAATAATGAGTTTAAGTATTTTCTTGATAACATGAACGAAGCAACTCGTGGATTATTTGAAAATTTTAGAGTTGATAAAATATAAAAATTTTATTAAATTATTTTTAGCATATCAAAATTTAGGCCAATTTAAAGATGTTAGTAATTTTGAGATTAAAAGTAGTGATATTAAAAACTTAATTAAGATTAAAAAAAATTTTAATGATTTTACTCGCCTTATTGAATATAAAAAAAGATTGTTATCATGGAGATAAACAAAATTTTATTGTTCCCTATCCTGGTTTCAAAATATTTATGATGATTTTGTATTATTTTGTAGTAAGTTTAAAATAAAATATGAAGCTGATGATAGATTCTGGGATTATAATGCTGATAGAGATAGATATCGTTATAGATATTGTTTTAGTGATAGTGATAGTGATAGTGATTAATCTTATAACAATTTTTGTTATAAGATTTTAGTATAAACATATTATAAAAATGGAAGAGTTATTAAAGGAATTTGAAGATAATGGTATTAAAGTTGTGGTTGGATGGCAAGAGAAAGAAAGAAAAAAAATATGAGTGAAGCAATGAAAAAATTAAAAGAGAGTAATGATGAGAAAAAGATTAATTAGCAGAAAAATTAGCTAGACATTATGAAATTTATGATCTCATTGAAAATTTACCAACAAAACCTGATTTTCCTTTTGAAGAAGATAAGTATGGGTCACATTATCTTTCCTCTTATTTAGAGGGTATTCTTGATACAGCTAAGAGGGGTATCGCAGGTGTTATTAAAGCTCTTGGAAATGACGAGGAATTAGATCCTTTTACTAAATATCTTATGTTTACTCATATGTATACACCAGAGCAAGTAAAAGAAATAGGACATGAAGAAATACATAGAAGGGAAGAAAAGTTTGAAAAAGAATTAGGATTAGTATAAACAACTAATAAAAATGGAACCAAGATCAAGAGAAACTACTCCTACAAAAGAGGATTTGGATTTTATAGTTGATGATGGTTATAGACATGATGAGGATCCAGATTATATTCCAGATGAAAAATATCTTGTTAGTGGAAAAGAGTTTAAAAAGTTAACACAAAATGCTAAAAAACTCGGTGCTGAATCACTTGATTATTCAACACGAAAAAATAACAAATATATGGTCACTCTTCCAAGTGGAAAAAAAGTTCATTTTGGATCGACAAAATATGCTGATTATCTTACTCATAAAGACAAAGAAAGAAGAGATAAATATCTTGCTCGAGCTACAAAGATTAAGAATAAACAAGGAGAATTAACTCATAATAATCCAGAATCAGCTAACTATTGGTCAACAAAACTTCTTTGGTAGTAAATCGATTTAAGAATTAAAAGATTTTTAAAAAATGCATCGCAAAAAAATTTTAAATGGTGGAAAGAAGTTCTATATTCATCCTATTTTTACAAATTATGCCGCTTCAAAAGACGGTGAAATTTTAAATGTAAAGACTGGAAGAATTTTAAAAAAAAATTTGACTACCTCGGGATACTATGAGTTTAGAATATATGATAAAAAAAATTTTAAACCAAAGAATTACCTTATACACAGGTTTGAATGGGAATGTGTTAAAGGTGTAATTCCAGAAGGATTTGTTATTGACCATTGTGATTCAGTTAGAACAAATAATAAAATCGAAAATTTACAATTGCTAACTTTAAAAGAAAATGTTCAAAAAGGACGTAGTAAACCAATAAAATCATTTACTATCAAAAATAACGTACAAAAAAACTATGTTAGTATTACTTCTGCTTCAGTCGAATTAGATATTTCCTTTTCAATTATCTCTGGCATTTGTAGAAAAGTAAAGTATTACAAAACAGTTATTTCCAAAAAAGGTGGGGATAGATACTCATTTGAATTTTTAGAAAAAAATGCTTAAATATTTAATTAAAATAAAGAAAAATGTTTTTTAATGATTATTATACCTTTGATACTTTAGTTAAAAAAGTAAAGGAAGCACAAGAAACTAATGATTTAAAAAAACAGAAAATTTTGAAAGGTTTTACTAGACTTTTATTGATATTTGAAAATATTTATTTTATTATGAAAGATTACGATGATAGTGAGGAGTTTGATGAAATAAAACCATTTTATTCATATATTGCTCAAATTTTGTGTAGTTATTTAGAGAATTATATCAGAGGTGAAAAGTTTGATTTAGACAAAATAAAATCTATTTCAGATTCTTTAGCATATAAATACGCTATTTTTGGTTTTAGTTTAATTGAAGGAAAAACTTATTTAATGTTAGATAAATGTTTCAAAGAAGAAGAGGAAGATAATAAAATTTTACAAATTCCTATTCCAATTACGAAAACAGATGAGTGGTTTAATGATTTAAAGAATAGTAATTTATAATCAAAAATGCAATTGTCAAGCTACGAAAATCTTACCCAAGACAATATTATCTTTAAAGAAGCCAAAGGATTTAAAGTCCAAGATAGCAAAATTAAATACAAACGTATCCCAATTGAAATCAAATATTCGAATGGAAAGAAAGGACCGCTTGTAATCGAAACCCCATTTCTTTTTAGCTTTGGTGTTAGTGAAAAGAAAAATCAAGAAACAAAAAAGTTAGTAGGTTATAGTATTCCAGTATGTCTTTGGGCTAAAGATAGCGAACCAAATAACAAAGAAAAAGCATTTTTGGATGTTATTAATAACTTAACATCTCTTTCTCAACAATATTTAGAGAATGAATATGGCCCACATTTAGCTTCGTCTCTTACTACACCATTATATTACAAACAGGAAGAATACACTGATAAAAAAGGAAAGAAGAAAACAAGAATTGATCCCTCATCTGCACCGGTTTTTTATGCAAAACTTATTTACTCAGAAAAATCAAAGAAAATTTTATCTTTGTTTAAGGGAAAGGGAGGTAAAGATTTAAATCCTTTCAAATATATTGATCAGTACTGTAATGTTAAATTGGCTCTGATAATTGAAGGAATCTACATAAGTAAAACTGTAACATCTTTACAAATAAAAGTTCATGAGTGCTATGTTAAACCACTCAAACCTAGAGAGTCTTTACTAACAATTGAAGAGGAAGATGAAGAGAGTGAAGGAGAAGAGATAACTGATCAAGTAGTCGAAGACTTAGTTAACTTTGATGAAGAAAACGAGTAAATAACTATTTTTAATACGAAATTCGTATTAAAAATCAACCAAATCCTTAGAACTAATCCATGAGTTAAATTTATCAGGATATCCACTCCATTTTACTAATGCCATTTTTTTCTTATTATCTCGTCTGATAATTTTTTCTATTCTAAATGTTTGTTGTTTTGTTTTTTGTAATTCTTGGTTGTAGAAAGAACCCTTAATTTCTTCTCCCATCAGATCAACAATTCTATACGTAACAGGTTTTGTAGGTAAAACTTTATCAATAACGAATATTTCTTCTGTCCAGTTTGGTGTGTAGCCTTTATCAAATACCTTTCTCTTATACTTAGAAATTCTAACACGATCACCAATTGCAAACTTTGATTTACCAGGTTTAAAGTAAATAGATTCGCCATACAAATTAGACCAAACTTTACTTTCATTTTTCTTTTTACTTGCTTGAACAGGAGTCATTTTTATACTAGAATGTCTAGCGTTATTGTAATCATCAACTAGTTTATCTATCTTATCCCAGTAAACAGTGTTGTTATTCACAGTAAACATCTTCCACATTCTGTTTTTCATTGTTTTATTCCATCTCTCAACAACACTAGATTTTTCTTCGTTTTCAGTGTGATACAACTTGATACCCTTTCTTGTCAGAAAATCTTTAAAATGTTTGCTTATAAATTCGGAACCTTTACCATAACATTTGAGGTTTACGTTTACTTTTAAATATGTCATCGAATGCTTTACTGACAGTTTCGGTTTTTTTATCTTTCAAACCTCTAATCCAACCATATTTGCTAAACACATCAATAACCATCAGCAGATATTTAATTCCTTTATTCCACTTACTAAACTTTTGCATTTCAACTAAATCAGCAGCCCAAATATCATCAATTCCGTTTGATACTACTGATCTCTTTTGAAAGTTTCGTGTGATTGGTTTGTGAAGTTCGTCGGCTAATTGTTGAGACCAATCACTACTCGACGCCGCTTTACGTTTTTTGTTCCCATACCAAGTTTTTGTTTGGTATTTATTATTGTTCTAGCTAAAGTATGCCCCCATTGTCTTTCTTTCCAAGGAATAGCATCCAACGATTTTACCATCTTTTTATCGGCTTTATTTTTACACTTTCGGTCATCTCCACAAACACTATAATCTACGTTATGTTGCATAGCCACAGCATCGGTTGGTCCAGTTGGTTGATCATAAATTTCTAATATTTTACCAGTTTCCGGATCATATCTTACTTGGTTTTCAAGATCATTATAAGGACCGGTATATTTATGTCGTGGTAAGGTCCATCCTCCTTTTGGTTTTGGCAATTTACCAATCTGTTTATGGATATCTACAGCACCACCTCTATAGTGACGAATGTTGTCAGTCACACCTTTTAAACCTTGGCTACCAAGTTTCATAAAAGCTGCTGGCCAACTTGCAGTTGGATTTACAAACATTGCTGCTCCTTCTGCTATTTTATCTGTTAATGTGGGTCTTCTTCTGGCTAGAGCACCACCAAATACAGAATCAAAAACGCCCGCCCCTTCAGACGGGCTTACTAGTTTTTTGACTTTTTTTTTGTTTTTCTTTTTCCACTTCCAGTTTGCAGGGGGGTATTCCCCATTTTTACATACCTGCCATTTTTTATTCCACAGACAGCACAATGACAAAAAAATTGAGTTCTACCTCTTTTATCTTGTTGGTAACCACTTGGCTCTATGCAATCAGTCACTCTTTTATCTTTAATGCAATATGATTCTTTCATTTAATATAATGTTTAGAGAAAAAAATATGACTACAAGATCTAATTTTGTTAAAAGTGAACTTCAAAAGATATATAACAACCTAAACATGAGTTATGAATACGTTGATTTTTCTAGATTGGAAAACGATACTAAATTTATAAAAGTATTTGAGTTGCTTATGGAAATAAGTGAGAAATCGAATACACTTAACAAAGTTGTAAATGGAAACTATCTATTCATATAAATAAAATGGAAGCCAAATTCTTTTCTGAGATAGAGAAAGAGATGGATGTTAAAACAATCAAGGATTTCGAGAAAGAAGTAAGGACAAAAATATATAATGAGTTGGAGTCTCTTAGAAAGAAAAACGAAGATCTTTCTAGAGTGCTAATGGTTGGTGAATGTGTGATAAATAGTGATAAAAAGAAGAAACTTTATCGTCTTATTGACATTTACTCAAAATTTATTGATATATCTGAAAGTGTTAAAGATTTGAATACAAAAGTTGAGAGGGTTAAATCACTAAAAAATGCCCCAGATGAAGATTAAAAAAAATAATATTTAATAAATATTATTTTTATCCTCCAAAGTATGACTTTATAAAATCGCTGTTGTCATTATCAAAATGAGGGTTATGTATCACATCTAGAATACCTTTACCTTTTTGTCGCTCGAATAAATAATATAAACACCAATAACCACATAGAACAGTACTACGATTTTGTATTTCATCCATTGAGTACACAATAGGTTTTACAGATCCCGTTTGAAAATAGTCTAATACTTCGTTTGGCATTATCAGTCCAAATGGATCAAAGTACTCAATAACACCACTCCAAGCAGCAGGGGGGTTTTGGGGGGAGGCACTCCCCCCATCTAGATTTCTATAACAAACCCAGTGTGTTCCAGGCCCTGTTATATCATCCAGATTAATTATTCCACATTCTTTTCTAATCTTTTTTGGTAGGCCATCACGACTATATATTCCTCTGAAATGTTTAATACCAAGTCTTTTTACCCATTCCATGAGGTCAAAGTTGGATAGAGGTTTAATTACAAAATGCTTATTTAAATTGTAAAGGGAGGGGGGTATAGGGGGAACCGTAGGTTCCCCCACTACAAAATGGTGCCGAGAATGGGAATTGAGCTGAATGGGCTGTTTTTTCCTAATAGTAAACCCTTTCCTTTGGAATTTTTTTTTTTAACACCCATTCCTATAGGGTTTTCCCAAGTACCAATAAAGGGTGGTGAGCGATAAGGATAACCCTCTCCATGTGAAGTTTTTGGAGGAGGAGGTGGTGGTGGAGGAGGATGTGGAACGTAAACATTTGATGTATTAGATGACCCACGTCTATCAACCTGAAGTCCACCACCAAACATCTTAGATACCAGACTAATTGCCATTGGAATTCCAATAGATGCAAGAGTACCTAAAAATCCTCCTTCTATCTGTTTACGAGTCGGTTTTATAACTAATTTACCACCTGTTTGATAAGCTTTATTAATTTGATTTATTTGTGATTTGGTAAATTCTCTTACAATATTTGGTAGCATAGGGAAAAACTCTGGGGGAATTATGATTCCATTTTTTAGCAGGGGGGTTTGGGGGGGAGGCACTCCCCCCCTTCCAAGTTCTCCAAGTGCAGTAGCAGCACCGGTTGCTAATGCGGGAACAGCTTTTGAAATTCCTTTTATTGCATATGGTAGTACTTTTGCTCCGAGAGATGCGAGTGATGAAAATAAGTTTCCACCATGTTTCACAGATTTTCTAATTTGAGTTTTACTTATCTTTATATCCGATCCTGTTCCATTTGCCAGTGATTTTTTTATTTTATCAATTTGTCTTTTTGTTAACATTAACTCATCAGAACCTTGAAGATGAGAATGTTTTAACCGAAGAGTTAGTGGTGATTGATTTATTATCGCAGAAGCCAGTTTTGACTTTTGTCCATCTGTAAGTTTTACTCCGTATTCAGTATAAGTAGTCATTTTTTATTATAATATTTATATAAAATTTAATCACATCACTTCATAATCTCATTGTTGTTGAAAACAAACTGGATTTTTTTAGATCTTGCGCTCCCAAAAGGAGCGCTTTATTTCGCAGCACGTTTTCCATTTTATAACACAAACAAAGTATTAGCGGCACTCGCTAACACACGCACATTCCTTTTATCCCTGACAACCATCTAATCTAAAAATAATTTTTGTGTTGACGCTAAGCAACTCAAGTTGCTAGGGATATTTGGTATGCCTGCTGACGTCATAAGGTTCATAAGACTTTGTGTTGTTGTGAAATGAGGTCAGAAGTGATATGAGTAACATGGAAAACGCACACAGCGAAGATATGCAGTTCGACGACACAGATTTGATCTCAGCCTGTTCAGCGAAATAGAAGGTTATTGTTTTATATCACGAGATTATCGTGTGATTTTTTCAACCAATCAAATGATTACACAACATTTTCTGTGTAATCATAACAACTTGTAGAAAATGTTGTGTAAATCATAACAGATCGTATAAAAATTTGATTATGCAATTATTCTTTGACACAGTTGGAAGGCCGCAGGTATGTCTGAGATTAAGCTCTTATCAATAGTTTTCCTCCTTGCTGTTCTATTTCTGCCTCTCGCTCATGAAGTACCAGAGCGTAAATATTATAATCAGCGTTTGGATTAGCAGATAATTCATAATGAAATGCAAGTTTTGTAACTCCATCTTTTAAATCCTTTTTTTGTTTTGTAAGATCAAAATAAACAAAAGGAAACAAAGACTCAAAATTTGATCTATTGAGAAGTGTTCCACCTTGAAAGTCATTATTTGCATAAACATAACCCATTACTTCTCGAAACACTCTCGCTGGATCTGTAGCTGGTTTAAAGTGAATATCGGGGTATTCATTTTCATTTCCAACCTCAAGATAACAGCGAGACATATTAGCATTGTTTGGTAAATCAAAAGTGTTGTAAAGGAATGGATTTGCTGTTTGTGAATCAATATTAGCTGTGTTAATCGCAAAAACAAAGACATGGCGAGGTTTTGAAATAGCATTTGTAATTCTAAAATGACCTGTTTGCTGTTGAGAGTTATTTGATCGCTGTACTACTTCATTAAGATACTTCCATTTGTAGGGTTTGAGATAATTTTCCATGTACAACTTTTGTCCATCTTTGTTAAATGTTATTCTTGGAACAAATAGTTGAAATCTTGTTAGTATAACTCTACAATCATTTCCACCAGCTCGCCAGATAAGATTACCATCTGATTCTAGTTCAATATTTAATTCGATTTTTGTATTTGGAAGAAGTGTGTTTTCTAATGCCTCAAAGAAAGAATATCTGTTGAGGGGAATTTCACATCGCACTGTTGCTGAGTCGCCTAGTAATGCTTTTCTTACAGCAAAACCTTTGTTATAATTAGCTTCAACATCATCCAACATTAATCCTGCTTCATCTGCGTTATTAGCAGCATTCCTTCTGTGAGTTACTTGCCTTTTTGTGTATTTATTTCTTTCAGCGTGTCTTGTTGTATCAAGATAGTAAAATTCATTTGTAGCGACACTCTTAACATAAGATGGATTATACTCAAGCAAATTTTTAATATTTACTACATGATTAGCATAGTTGCAACTGTAAACATCTCTTCCATTTGCAAGGATTGTTAACTTTTCTATGAGACTGGAACTACCATTTACTATTCCCATTTGGTCTCCATCTGCATCTATGTTAGCTCCAGCAGCAAGCTGATTAACTTTTAAATCCACTGAAAATCGCGCGTTATACCAATCAAATGGAGTAGCCTCACCTGTATTATCAGCGACAAATCTATGACCTGTTTTAGTTTGGTGAGCACCATTTCCAGGTGTTGCTAAAGCCTGTTCAAGGTCAAAAACAACATCCTCATATCTATCTAAATATTCTGGATTTCTAAAAGACTTCATTTTATTTTAATAATTATATAATTTTTCCACCACTAAGAATAGAATTCACTCTTTGATTTATTTCTTGTTGAGTCATTTTTTTTGCAGGGGGGTTTTGGGGGTACCAGCCATTTGGAGTTGTTTTAAAAGTAACTCTTTTAGCAGGTGGTTTTTGGGGGTAATTAACATTTCCTTTTGATAAAATTTGCACTATCTTATCACCTGCCTTTTTACCAGCATGTTCACCGGTTTTTGTTGCAGCTGTTGTTACTGCTTTTTCAACACCCTTTTTAGCGGCTTTTTTCATTGTTTTTCCAAATAATTTTGAACCAAACGATTTAAACACATCTGTTATTCCTTCTCCATAAATATGTTGTCTTGTATATCTACCCAATTCAGGGTCAAGTTTCTTTTTATACTCTGATTGTCGCATCATTTTATTTTAATAGTTATACAAAATGATTATTAGTGAGTTACGCGTAGCAGCAGGGGGGTTTTGGGGGGATGCAATCCCCCCATTACATAGAGTGAAGTATCAAAGTCATAAACGAATCAATACCATTAAAATTTACAGGTCTTCCAAGTGAGTCTGTCACATAGATTCTCATTTCATCAATGTGAAATGAAGAGACAGGACAATACAATAGTCTTTTAGGCTCAAACGTAAACGGATAAGACCTTGTGAGATTATCATTTGGTATCATAGCTATGGTATTTGTATTTATTCCATTTACAATGCTATCAGTTATTGCGGTTGTGTTGATATTTAACACATCAATCGAATTTGTGATATTTGGTAGTTTTGATCCATACTCTGTTTTTGTTATGATTTCTTTTCAAAACCAATTAGGTCTCCAAATTCTGTTCCTCTCAGATCAAGTTGATAATCACCATCAAGTGATACTAACACTCGATAGGTGGATAGTATAAAAGTTAGATTGATTGAATAAGTCTTTTTTCCACTTGAATCTGTTGAGTGATGAGACTTTTGAGACATATATTGATGAATGTAATCATTGATATCTGAGTAGGAATACATTCCATCTACAAAAGTAATTGTTTGCCAGTTGGTTCCATCGTGAGTGTATTTAATTTTATTGTTTCCATAATCACTTCTAATGTTGTACCAAGAATAAGTCATGGACAACCGATCAAGAGCAAGTTGATGTCTCTTTTCAGGGTCAAGTTTCAAAGAAGGATTAAATTTGATAGTAAAATCACCAGGTCTGCTTGTTCCTCTTTTTTCTCTGTTTATTGAGGAAATGTGAATAGCTCGTTCTTCCATTTTATCTAATGTTTATATTCCTTATAGGTGAACCTACGGTTCCCCTATTACCCCTCCCTTAAAAGGAATATATTTTTTTATAGTGAAACCATAGGTTCACCTATTTTTAGTAAGTCATTTAGTTGTTTTTTTGACATTACTTTCATTTGGTTGAGAAGATGTGCGATTTTAGAAAACTCATTTATCACACCATTATTCCCAGCAAGAATTGAACCACCGAGTAATTCAAGTCTGTCTAGAAGTTGATGTCGGTTGTTAAAGTAAATTATTCCAGAGCCAGATTTTTCTTTGTAAAGCTTAAGATTAATTAAACTTGATGCAAATATGCTTAATGTGTTATATTTTTTTATAAAATTTATTGTGTTTTCACGTGGATTTTTACTTATTGGTTTAGCTATAGCATAGCCGTTTGGGTCACGTGTAATAATTGCAGTATTTTTTATTGCTTTACTAGTATCTTCTAAATCTTCGTTAACATCTTCGATTACTTTATCAATAGTAGAAACATCCTCTTCAAAATAATCAGAAGGGAGTTTGTAGTATTCATTAACTTTGAGTATATCTTGTACTTCTTTATTCATTAAATTTCTATCGAGGTCTTCAAGTGTAAATTTTGCTATTTTTGGTCCTTCCTTTGATGTAGAGGGTAAAACTGCGTCATCTTCTTTAGGCTCTTCAATCGCCTCAAAACCAGGTAATTGAGCCAAATCCCATTTTTTTACCTCATCAAGTTTATCAAATCCCTCAGTTATAGCCATCCTGTTTTGATTAAGTCCTTGTGTAAGAGCAAGTTGATTAGCTTTAAGTTGTGCTATAGTTGCGTTTTGTTGCTCGTCGATACTTTTTTTAATGCTATCTTGAGATTTAATAAGTGGTTTAAATGTCTCTTTAAAACCTTCTCGCACATCTTGTTTTTGCCATTTTGTTGTTTTTATAACGTTTCTCACCTGTAGTAACAAATCATCGGCTTCTATTTTATTTTTTGCAAATTTTTTAGCTTCTTCTATATCCATTTTATTTAATTAATAGATAAAAATGGAAATACCAAACTATGATAGTACCGATGACATTAATAAAAAATATAAACAGCTATTTCCCTTCATGCCATCAGATACGTTTCGAATGTTAATCTGTGGAAACAGTGGAAGTGGTAAGACTAATTTGTTATATCATATGTTAATCAAACCACTGTTGCATTACGATGAGATTTATCTTTACGCACGTAATCTAGAACAGGATGAGTATCAAAAGTTAATTCAAAAAATGAGGGAGTTGAGTAGTAAAATTGGATATGAAATACTTCATGTGAGTAATGATGAAATAACCCCGGTTACAGAAATGGATTACGAAGACAATCAAAAACTTGTAATATTTGATGATTACGTCTGTGATAAAAACCAGAGGCGACTTATTGATTATTTCATTCAAGGACGACATAAGAATTGCTCTGTAATCTACCTCAGTCAATCATTTTACAAAACTCCAAAGGATATTCGGTTGAATTGTTCTCACTATTGTCTGTATGAATTTCCATCATCGAGGGAAGCAAACAGAATATCATCTGAGTTGGGAGTTGACAAAGAGACGTATAAAGCAGCAACAAAAAAACCATTTACATTTCTATACGTTGATAAACCAAGAAAACGTATTGCTAAAAACTTTACTAGTAATCTAGATAGGTGAACCTACGGTTCCCCTATTACCCCTCCCTTAAATATTAATCTGTAATAATAATAAAATGGGAGTTTTTAACGAACAATCTTTTGATCATCCTTTTGCTAAAGGAATACAGGGCGCTCCAGGAGTTGGTTTTAGTCTAACCACAGATGGAAATTATGATATAAGTGGAAAAAAAACTCACAAATGTTGGAGCACCTAGTAATAATACTGATGATGCTACAAAAAAATACGCAGATGATAATTCTAGTGGGTCACCCAAAACATCACGATTGATAGTTGATTCAAACATTGATATGAAGGATACATACCGAATTACAAATCTTAGTACTCCACTGGATGGAAAAGATCCAGCCACAAAAATTTACGTAGACAACACATTTGTTGACAGAGATGGTTCCTACCCAATGAAAGGTAATCTCAATATGGATAATAATCAAATATTAAATCTACCAGCTCCAACGGGTCCCAAACAACCAACACCATTAGCTTTAACAGATATGAAGTATCTCCACGTTGCTGGAACAAATAAAATGACTAATAATCTAAACATGGATAATAAAAAAATAATTAACCTTAGACCACCAACATCAGACACTGATGCCGCAAACAAAAAGTATGTGGATGACTCAATACCTGATACTAGTTCTTTTATAAAAAAAGATGGAAGTGTAGTAATGACTAATAACCTAAATCTTGGAAACAAAAAAATAGTTGATCTCGAATTACCACAATCAGCTTTCGATGCTGCAAACAAAGGATATGTTGATTTTGAGATTGGGCTTAATTTAAATCGTTATTTGAAAAAAAATGGTACTGTTGCTATGACTGGAAACTTGAATCTTAACAACAATAAAATAATAAATCTTAGTAAGCCAACCCAAGACAATGAAGCAGCAACCAAAAATTACGTCGACAAACTAGTTTACAAAACTGCAGTTCAACCAAGTCATTACAACAACCAGTTTGCTTATCTTATGTCAAGTTCGGATCAATGGACGGATGAAATAGATGGAGGAAACTCCTTTAATATAACAAAGATAGATGACTTACCACCTAGTAAAGGCAACTTTCACGATTATAATCACAAAGTTCGTTATACGACTATATACAAAAATTCCCAAGGTGGATATAAGTACAAAATGGGAATCAACTTTTACAGGTTAACTGCAAATACCGAATACACACTGTGTTTGGAAATACTCAACACTGATTATCAACTATGGCATAAGTCTCAAATAAGTGTAAACAAAGAAACTTCAACAGGATTATCAATTGGAAATGTTAGTGTAAGGAAACTATCTCATAGGTACACACAATCAAATGGGCAACCAAAATTTATGTATTATCACAGAATAATAGCTAATTTCCGGAAGTTGTCAACTGGTAATAAGTTCTTTCTTCACATTTTGGTTAATATACCACAAGATGGAACTGACTTGGCTGTTTATCCGAGACAGTTTCTAGGAGTTTATTTAATTACTTATGGAATTGTGGGAAGATTTAGCAATATCGATCCAGATAAAGTTTACGACTATCACACAGCATTTGAAATCAAACCAACAGAAGTTTTGTACAATGTTAATTTAAATGCAAATAATAAAAAAATAATGAACGTCAATCTTGATAGAAACAATAACAATAGCGCAGCAACAGTTGGAATGGTAAAGGAATTAGCTCCTTTTACTAAAAATGCTTTGTACAGATTATACTTTAGTGAGGTCTATGACTTTGCTAATGCGGATAGTTATGGAATAAATATAGGTTCATCTGGGGTTATTATTAATTCTGTAAAACCTAATATTACACTACCACCAAATAAAGACCTAGATGAAATAAATAAAGATGGTTTAAATGTTAATGGTTACGATGTTACTCTTTCTCCTACACATTCTTCGAAATCTACTTTATGTATTGTTTTTACTCATTGGAGAAATAGGCGTTTTACCCTAACTAAATATTTATCAACAAGCAATAATATTTTAGTAAAATTATATTATGATAAAACAAACAATAAAGTAACTTTAACTATCAACAAAGCAACTCAAAATTTTACCATGCTAAGAGAATTTAATCAAAAAAGAATTGTATTATGGCTAACAGAAAATTTTGATTCAGATGTCACAAAAGTTAAAATAAGTAACTATAGCGCAACATTAACTATACCAGCCGTTCACTACAATGTTAATCAACGTTGGAAGTTTACAACTGAAGATGGAGTGTTAAATAAATTAATGTACTCTCCAAATTTTTACGATGACGACTCTGAGCAATATCATAAAGTAATGATTCAAGAAAAGTTAAACGGTTCTTATATAGTATAGTGGAACCCCCTCCCTTAGCTTCACCTTATTAATATACACAAAATAATAAAATGAAGGATATCTTTGAATTCAATCACATTGATAACTCTCTGTCAGAAACAGACGTTAAAACCCTAAAAGACTTTTATAAACACTACCACAAAAAAATACTGGTGTTTTAAGAAATCGTATAAGAGTTATAAATTTCTTGATGATGTTTTTACAATCTCTGGAATATGCTTGGTTGCAATAGGAACTATTTCTGGTGGAATAACCCTAAACCCTGTTGTTCTCGGAGTAGTAAATGGAGCTGGAATTATAGTGGCGGGAATAGGAAAGAAAAATAATTATAAGAGAAAAATTGAGATGACAAGGATTGCATTCACTACTTATGAAAAAGCACTTGTTGAACTGCGGTCAGCTCTTCGTGGAGATGAGTTTAATAAACAAGAGTTTGTTGATCGCATGAAGTTGATAGATGAAATAATAATCGACCAAACACCTATAGCAGATAGATTTGTTAGTAGGTATGGTAAAAAGTTCGGACTAAGTAAACAGTGATTTTAATATCATTTTAATATTAAAATCTATCCGGTTTTGAGTGATTTAAAACTATCCCACCAATTTTCATAATTATTTAAAGTTTGTGGTGAAATCTTAAGATAAATTAGTTTGTACTTTTCACATCCCATCTTAGCCAAAAGTTTTTTAATCAAATAATTGATACTTATCATTCTCTTTCTGTTGTATTCTTTGTTTAGTATTTCCATAACATTATTGTCTATTTTCATTAACTTAACTAAAAGTTTGTTTTTTGTTTGTTGGTTAGATTTATACTTTTAGAAATTTTATTAACCTTTTTTTCATAGTAATACTTACGTTGATATACGCTCTTTTTTCGATAAAATAACCTATCAAAATCTTTATTATCGTAAAAGCCTCATACATGTCCGTTTGCTACTCCACATTCTTCACAGATTTTATAACCGTAATCAATTGTAAAAAATGTACTGGTTTCACAATTACTACATTTAGCTTTTAAATTTGATTCATCTGAGGAATTAATACTATAATCACCCAATATTCCAAGATATTTCTTTATTTGGTCTTCTGTATATCTCATTTATTATTAAATTTTATTAAATTCACTTATCTTAAAGCTTTTGTTTTTACCTTACCCAAGAGAACTTCACGTTTATCATCTTCATTACTTAGAGCTACTTTGTTAACTTCTTTTGAATATATATCATGATTTTCACTTCTTATTATATTCATTTTTCTCATTTCTTTTTTACCCGAAAATAAACATTGAACATAGTCATCAAAATCTAATGACTTTTTCACAACATTTGTCTTTATTCCTTTACATTTTCTAACCTCTTTGTCCTCTTCTATTCTTAAACTATATAGTTTTGGTCGTAATCCAACAAAACAAGTTATTTGTTTTCCTGCTACTTCATCTTTAAACATCCCAATTACTTTTTTGTTAACTCCTGTCAATATTCCAGATTCATGATTGGGTGGGTAATCAGATGTGTCAAACTTTTTTTTTTTATGTCGCGTGATATATCTTTGTAAAAATCATCTGTGTGAATATGGTACATTAATGAGTCTGTATCTGTAAACAATAACTCAGCTTTATGTTTGTATTTCTTTCTTATGTAATTATAATGAAAATCAAACATCAATGTTTTTGATAAATCAAGAATTGCTTGACCAACATATACTGGTTTGTCAAAATAAATTTCGGTTTTTTTCATATGAACTGCGATAAGATTTTTATCAAATATCGTAGCCCTTTCAAAGTTTGGTCGACTTGTTAGTTTAGCTTACGATTATCAACAAGTTCTATATTTTGTCTTTTTCGTATATTTTCTATTGTTTTTCCAAATACTGAATTATTCATCAGTTTAAAAAAGTCTTTCCCAAAACTGTTGGCTGCTGTTTTCCGAAGTTCTGTGTTTTTTCGTATATATGGTTCCATCCAAGGTCTTTGGTTAAAAGATATTCCTCTATGAACCGCAGTTATTCTCATTCCCATTTCAAGATATTGTCTAAGATTTCGATAATGTACAACATAATTTTTTCTTGGTTTAAAATGACAAATTCGTTTTTCAACGCCATTAACAATCATCTTCTCAGGTGCTAGAGGATAGTCATTATGTTTTTCCTATAAGGATGAAGGATATTCCAAATCAACTTCAAATATATATCCTTTTCTTCCACGATTCGACATACTATGATTTACTTTTTCTAGGATTTCCATTAATGTCTCTTTTGTTAGGTTTCTCATCCATTTAAATCCGTGTGTAGGAAGTGATTGAGACATTGCCCAACCATAAAGGTTATTTGCATCGAGATATTGAATATAACTAGACTCCTCATCAGGATTGTAAGATTTCATATATTTGTTATTCGCTTCTGCGTATCTTTTCGATATGTGAGTAATACCACCACGAATACCTTTTTCAATCATCATTAACATATCATAATCATGTAGTAACTGTAATTCCTGCCCTGTTTCTTTGAGACAAGCATCCCAAGCTAAACCTGGAGATGTGTAATAATGTGCTGGATCTAACTTGTAATGTTTTAGACAAGTTTTTCTTAAGTTTTCAAAAACATCTGACAAAAGTAGGACATCAGACTTTAGGTAAAGATCGTGATAATCTCTTAATGATTTACATTTAAAAGTATTCCACACGTTTATTGCGTGTTGGTAATCATCTTCAGTTATGTCTTCATCATTTAGTTTCGAATAAAATTCTTCTTTTTGTGGTAATTGTGTTTCGGTTAGTTTTTCAAGTGATGAAACATAATCATAAGGATAAACTCCCTTACGAGTAAGTAGATCTACATTTTTCTTAAATTCTCGTTTTGTATTATGAAAATCATCTGGTTGTAAATTTGAAACAAGATTAGCAAGTGATGTTTGAAGAAACTTAAATGAATCTACGGAACGAATTTCAAAATACAATGAAACCATTTCATCGTTTTTTTTAGACCTATACTCATCAACTTTAATCTTTTTAGAAAAGGATATGTATTTTTCTTCCGTTGAAGGAATGCAATTTAACTCACCTGGTAAAGTTGCGAGTTGTTTCATAAACAAATGAGCGTCATACCCTTGAAGATTATGAAATATAACTGGTAAAACTAAAGGTTTCCTACACTTACGATTACAACTGTTATGAGCAGCACCACGATACTGACCTGTAAAATGACAATGATCTCTAACTTTGTCTTCAAATAAATCTTTGTTACATATATGACAAATCATTGCTTTATCAAATGATTTTTGTTCGGCTTTTGTTAGTATAAGAGGTTTTGGTCTGCGATAAAAATCATTATAAATACCTCTAGTTGCTTCTGTTAGTTTTTCTACGAATATTTTTGGTATATTTTCATCTTCTTCTTTTTTAGTATATGTGATTGGTTTTATTCTTTTATCAACCACTCCTTTAATAAAAATACAAAATCCTGATGGTTCGTGTTTTTGGTAATTATAATTATAAGAATCTTCTGGATTAGGACAACAAGTATTCATTGGTTTGGTAAAACATTCAAAATCCGCATAAGCTACAAAAGGAATAGGTATTTGTTTGTTGTGATTTTTGAAATGTAAAATCGATCCTGATTTTGGCATTTTCACAGAAACTGTCTCGTTATTCGAACAATAAAAAATATGTTTTTGTAATAATTCTTCTTTTGTAAAATGAGTAAAACATCTCTTACAAATATGAATTGGCTCATTTGTTCTACTTGTGATTTGTGACCGAAAAAGACGAGAAAAGTTTTACAATCAGAGAATAATGATATTTTCCATTCTCTTCATAAAGAAATAAATCTATTGATTTTTGAGGGTCACGTAACGCCATCCGGAGGGGATAAAACTTATTGTCGTGAGTAACTGAAAATACATTTATACCTGGTAAATCTGGATTAATAGTTTCAAATTTGGTAATGTCTCTGATTTTAACTGGAAAAGTAAATCCCTTAGGAATATTAAGCTCATGCTCATATTGTTCTAAATCTTTCAAACGACAATCATTCTTTTCTCTTGGATGAAGATAACGAAGTATAGACCACAAAAAACATTTAGAATCTTTATTTCGAATACTAACAATTGCTTTTTTTCTCATAATCCAATCTGGAAGAGGACTATAAGAAGAACCTTTCATTGGACTAAATTTAACAGTATGAATTTCAAGTTGAATAACTTCTTAAAAATACCACCCACTACCATTTTGTTGATAAATATTAATCTTTTCTGTGATGTTACTAATAGTTTTTTAAAGTAATTTTTTTACATTGGTTGATTTGAGATTAATATATGTATCTGAATGAAAATATGCTTTATCCTGAACTTCTAATCTTAGTTTTTGGTGGCCTTCCACTTTTTCCATCATACAAACCAAAACAAACTTTACTTTGATATTTCGATGATTTCTAAGAAAATCTTTAAGAATAGATATTTTATTTCCAAAAAACTCTAAAGGAGTAATACCAGGTTCTCCCTTTATTATATGTTTTTTAGCAAATTCATCTAAAGCTGATTTTTCTTTTGCAAGTCCTTGATTATGCTCCTTAATAGCTCTCTCAAGAGCTTCACGAAAATAAGGAGGAGTATCTTCTGGGATTTCTTTATTTTTTATACATTCCTGAAAATACTCATCAAATGATTTTATCTTTTTAATTTTAGAAGGGATTTTGGAGTGGGGTATCTTTTTTGATTTCTTTCTCCATTCTTTTCTTATATCAACGCCTTTTTTATTTTTTCATTAAGTTTATCTACTTTTCTAATATCACGAATTATTCTTTCTTTTTCAGTTAATTCTTTATAATTTTCCCTTATTATTTGTTTTTTCTGGTTTAATATTTTTTTTAATTCAGCCAAAGATAAACTCTTGTAATCTTTATCAGTTATAAGCGATTTTTCAGCCATTTCCCTTTATAATCTTATTATATTAATTTCTTTAAATCAATTTATTTTTCCACTTCATCCTTAGTAAAACAGGTTTAACCAGAAAATAGTTGATAACAGTGCTTAATCAGCTCATGACGTAAATGATCAGAAAAAAAAAAATCAATGATAGAAAATAACCAGAAAAAAGTACAAGACGTAAGACAGAAATTAATTGAACAATGATAGAAGATAAACTAATTTAAAAAAGTACAAAAATTTGTTAGTCTAAATTCCGTCATTGAAATTTGGGGTCGAATGAGGGAAATAATTGAATAATGACAGGGGAAAAGTACCAAGTGAGTGAGTACTAAGGAATCATTATATAACTACTATCGCTCCCTTGGCGACTTCAATCGAGCAATAGAGTACCACAACCAAGACTTGAGAATTGCTAAAGAACTTAGCGACAGGGCTGCAGAAGGACGTTCCAATAGAAATCTCGGCAATGCGTACCACTCCCACGGCCAGTTCCAACGAGCAATAGAGTACCACTACCAAGACTTGAGAATTGCTAAAGAAGTCAGCGACAGGGCTGCAGAAGGACGTCCCTATGGAAATCTCGGCAATATTTATTTCTACCTTGGTGACTTCCAACGAGCAATAGAGTACCACAAGCAATCCTTGAGCATTGCCAAGGAAGTTAGCGACATGACTGCAGAAGGACGCGCATATGGTAATCTTGGCAAGGCTTATCACTCCTTCGACGACTTCCAACAAGCAATAGAGTACCATAAGCAAGACTTAAGTATTACCAAAGAAGAAGGCGGCAGGGCTGCGGAAGGACGCGCCTGTTGCAATCTGGGTCTCTCTTTTTTGAAATTTGAGTCTTTGAATGAGGCTTTGACTCATTTTAGATCGGGCGTACATACCTATGAAACTATTAGGGCCAGTCTCTTTTCCAAAGATGCATGGAAAATAAGTTTTCGTAAGCTTTGTATAGAAGCCTACACCTATTCATGGCAAGTTCTTATTATGCTTCAAAAGACGGATGAGGGTTTATATGCTGCCGAAAAAGGAAGAGCACAAACTTTGCTAGATGCCTTGAAAACTAATTATAGCTTTACATCACTTTTGCCCAGGACAGATGAATCTGAAGAAGACGTCACGTAGATTTCAAGGAATATTTGCGTTTTACCAGTTTTTCTGGCAATACAAAACGAAACAATTAAAATGTGGTTTCTGCGAAAAGAAAGCAGCCCCATTTTCAGGCAAGCAAAGCTAAAATTGAAGGTGCGCAGAAAGATTCCTTTGCTGCAATTTTAGTCGACACTGTTTTGAAGAATCATTGTTTGCAGCCACTGTATGAAGCAGTTATTGGTCCCACTGAAGACCTGCTCGATGTCGATGAACTAATTGTAGTCCCTGATGGTGCTTTATCCTTAGCTCCTTGGTCAGCTCTAAGTGAAACATTAAGAATCCACACTGCTCCCTCTCTTACAACTTTGAATCTGATCATCCAGATGAATACCATCGTAAAAGTGGCGCCCTGATTGTTGGAGATCCATGTATGAAGAAAGTTTCGAATAAACGGGGTATGCCCGTTTACGAACAGCTTGAGTATGCAAAAAGGGAAGTCGAGATGATCCGAAAAGTTCTTAACAACCAACCACTTACAGGATAAGATGCAAATAAGCAAGAGGTGCTAAGAGAAACAAAGTCAGTCGCTTTGGTTCACATTGCAGCCCACGGAAGAAGGGGAACTGGTGAAATTGTCTTGGCTCCAAACCTCGGATGGAAATCCAAGACTCCTATGGAGGAGGACTACATTTTGACAATGTCTGACATACAAGCTGTTAAGCTGAGAGCGAGGTTAGTTGTGATTAGTTGCTTCCATTGTGGTTAAGGAGAAGTCTCGTCTGAGGGTGTGGTGGGTATGGCACGGGCGTTCTTGTTTGCTGGTGCTCGTTCTGTGCTAGCGTCAGTCTGGCCACTTGATGACGAAGCCACCATGGAGTTAATGATAAGTTTCTACAAACACCTGAGGGTTGGAGAAACTGCTAGTACTGCCCTCCATAAGGCCATGAAATGTCTCCGAGACTCGGACAAGTTTTCTGCTCTAATGTACTGAGCTTCATTTGGGCTGATTGGCGATGACGTTAGGATTGAATTTGACGAAAATTATTGAGAAAGTTGTAAGTCGAAATTTTTCGTCTTTTAATACTTTATATTAATCAGGCCTTCAATAAAAGAAGATTTAAGGATTAATTGTCCTTACATTAAAATGTAAGTGGATAGAAAGAACAATACTTTTTGCTCTATGATCGTATAATTACTTCAAAAAGTTTGTGAAAATTTCTCAAAGTTTTGAATTCAACGTTTATTTCTCGTTAGATTTCTTTGTATAACTTAAAATGTGGGAATAAGATGTTCTTCGGAATTGTTTTAATGCAAATGTAGTCTAGCAAATGCTCTTCTTGCAAATGAGTAAAGGCTTTTGTAAGAGCCCTTGCCGAAGTCTCGTTTTGATGAAATCCATGTCATTCTCCGTAACCTGTAATTTAACGCTTGGATCCTGAAGAGTAAGGAGTGCACAGATCATGTGTTGTGGATGAATGTGAAAGAAAACTTCTGAAGAAGTCAGCGTCTGTTTATTATTACTAAAATGACTTCCCTCAGAGGACAAAGTGATATTAACATTGTTAATTGTTTCTCTTGTTGTGGGTATTTTCAGAGGATATTCAGATTTCGAGCTTGTCAAGAATGGCAGAAATACCGTGTAACACTATGTTAGCGGTTTTTCTAATCAAATTTCCTGAAAAATAGCCAAACCGATTTTCCTGTAGAAACAACGTTTGTTGTCAATTACTCCCGCAATTATCACTGAATAAGTAGAGGGTAAATAAAACCCTGGGCAAGTTGTAATATTGCAGGAAACAGAGCCGTAGCTAGCGGGGGGGGAGGGGCAGGGGTGCAGCTTCCCCCCTGGACGAGGGTCTCAATGGGGTTAACCGATAGGCGTAAAACGGCCAAAAATTTAGTCGATAACCGTAGAAATTGAAAAATTTTAACCGTTAGCCGTAAATAGGGTAAAAAAGGGTTAACCGTAAAAGAAATTGTTCCCTAGATTTGTTAATTTTAAGGAAGGTGCTTAAGTCTCTTATGTGTGAAAGGTTTGAACCCAGGAGTCATTTCAAAAGTAGGTTGAGTTTGATCGTCCGGGTGAACGTAGTCCTGAATAGGACTGTTGTTGTTGACAGTGACTGACGTTTCGACAACCTGTACGGTAGTCATCCTCAGAGTCAAAGTGAGTTATATCACGTCCATTGATGGTGTTATACTCTGGTTATTGATCTGATTGGTCAATTACGTCGTGATGTTATTGGTCGTCTGTCAGTTAAGCCTTGATGTTATTGGCAATGAAGACTAGTAATCAGTAATTGGTGCGTTTCGATCCGTCTATTGTCACAGTTAAAGAGTCGTCTATTGTTAGTCAAATTGTCATTCTCTCGTAGTTAGTTTTGCTTGATCTCGTCAACAAGTCGTTTGTACGGCGCTGGTAACTGTTGGCTACGATTCAGTGGCGTTTGTTCTAAGTTAGTAAACCAGCTTTCTAAAGTAAGACGTTGATAGTAGTCTGTAGAATACGTTATACATGTCGCTGAGTCCCAGTCAATTTGATGTTTCGTCTTTAAATGGTGCTCAGCAATGTGATTGTTGACGTCACCATTCTTCGTAGCTCGTTTGTGTTCGGTCAGTCGCGTGCTTAGGTTTACAACTCACTTTGACTCTGAAGATGACTACCGCACAGGTTCAGTCGAAACGTCAGTCACTGTCAACAACAACAGTCCTATTACGGACTACGTTCACCCGGACGATCAAACTCAACCGCCTTTTAACTCTCTTATGGTTGCGATATTTTATTTCCCGGCTACTTTAGCCCTCCTTCCTCGCGCGTCCATCGCGTTTCTCTCGCGCCTAAAACTCCCTTCCCCTTCCCCTTCCCTTTCAAACGCCTGCCACGCAGGCTACGGCTACTTTGACTCCGTACGCACGTTAGGCCAAGCTCCTTTTAGTTGTGACCTAGACCTAAACTCCATTTCCGCAGCTCTCAGGGAACTATTTTTTTCCATAGCGAAACTGATCTGGCTTCTTGCTGGGAATTAAAATTTTCAGGAGGTCGTGCCCTGCACTGAAGACTAGTGAAACAACACCCAGGGATGTCACTGTTTGTAAAACACGTTGCCGATAAACGAGATGTTTTTCTCTGACCCTACGGTAGACATTGTCATGCCTAGTCCCTGTCCAGTGTCTTCCCACGCAATCTTGGTCAAGGCATTTCGGTGGCGTATCTGAGAAAATACTCGCTCGGACCATGTGCCCGTTAAAGGCATTAGCCGCGCAGAATAATGAGGCCTGTGGGCAAGGCAATGGTAGGCAGTCGTTCTTTACAGTCCTTTGCTATCATTAAAAACACTGGACAAGGGAATTTTGTTATTGGCCGTTTTCAAACTAGAGCTAGAAATGGATTATACGTCTGAGACTAGCCTGTGTGCAGTTGCCCCCTCCCCCACAGACACCCCTTCTCCGATTTTTTCTGAGGGGAGGGGATTGGCTGTGTACAGGCTATTTGAAACGGATAATCCATCTTCAAACTGTCCGTCAAAATTGACGGATAAAGTCAGGCGTATTGTTCATTCAAAATTAAAACCATTCCACAGTTTCAAATTAAGACGTATTACCTGACGCGAATTATCAAACGGATAACCCATCTCTCACGAATACTCGGTCTCTAGTGTGAAAGTGGCCATTTCTGTTATAAATGAATGCCCCCCTGCCTTGGTTGCGCGTTTGCGTGTTTGCTTTTGCTTTTTCACAAAGATTATTTTTAAATTGACTATTGACTAGGCGTAAAATGATATTAGAAATGGAATACTTTATAAAAAGTATGATCTATCAAATGTTAAGTTTTTCAAAAGAATGGTTTCATATTATCCCGAAATGATCCCAAGACCTTTGTTTTGATTTGAAGATACAAAAATACAGGTTTATTAATATTTAACTCTTTGAAACAAAAAAACTAAATTTTTAACTTTTTGTTAACAGTAACTGAAAAAAAAAAAAACCGATAGCCGTAAAAGAGCCAAAATTTTAGCCGAAAACCGTAAAAGCCATCACCCCATTGAGACCCTCCTGGACCTGTTGAACCAGACAAATCAATTCTGTGGATGGTTTTGTTTTACTTAAGACTCAGTTATTTTGATTGTAGTGACTTGCAATTGTTTGCCATTTTCATGGCCAAGAAATTGGTTGGTCCACGCTGTGTGCAAATAGTAAGCAAAAGGAAGCAAAACCCCCTATTTCCTATTTAGAACTATTTGAAATGTTTAGTGTACTCAATAATGCTTGGAAATATACGGTGTGTTTCAAATTAACAGAACCTCGGAAATAAGCACCTGTAAAATATAAGCACTGAAAACACTTGCCTTTTCACACTTTTTGGAGGTCGATTTTTCTGACATGTCTCATGACGACAAGTGCTGAAAAAAGCGTTTTGGAGCCTCCAATTTGAAAACTTTGTGAGAGAGGAAACCCCCAGACCACGCTAAAAGGCTCGGTCCTTCGGCAGTCGCGAAAATATAACTCCGTACGGTCGCCGAATTTTCCAGACGTTTGTTAGAGGGGGCAAGTTCGTGCAAGATCGTGAGGCAAAATCTTCACTCGCTTTTAACGTGTAAAGTTTAAGAGGCTGTCCGCGTAAGAACCGATAAGGCAAATTTTGGTCTATCACGGATTGCCCTGAGTTTTCCAGTGGAAGATAAGTATCCGATCCCATGAAGAAATATCACATTTATTTGGACCAACCCAATTTTTTCTCTATTTTACAGAAAGATTTTCTCGGTCACCTAAAACTAGCCAGTTTGCCGTCGGAAGTGGTGCGATTTTAAGGAAACTTTAGGGCTCTTGCAAACCTACCTTACCAAGCCGAATAAGCTGATTATTTTACACACAAATGTTTTAACTCTGATTAATAGTTTCAAGGTTTAATGGTTACATTCTGTGGAAAGTTGGCTGAGATATGATTTTTTTAAAATGACCTTTAATTTGCCTATCGGAAAAGTAATTTGCATAACTAGAGCTGAACGGTAATTTCGCAAAAATTGGCACCTGACCCAGACTCAAGTCTATGATAAAACAGAAGTACTAAGACCAGTCTACTTCTTAATGCAATAAAATTTGTGGGCACTCCTCTTTGCGTGCTGTACAAAGTTCCGTTAATGTTCCAAAATTCGCCATTTTGACAGCAAAGCTGGAATTGTAACGGT